GGTTTCTTCTTCTGCTATGCTTGTCCCAGAAGGGTACCCACCAGATGTCGTCCTGAGCTCTCCTTTACGAGGTGTCTCTTTGGGTATATGGGGGTTGGGGAGTTCCTTGAGGAGACAGTCTGTCCCTTATAGGAGCTCAAGTGCTGTGCTGGGATCTCCGTTGTTCCATGCAGAGCTGCTGGGTAGGTATCTTTAAGTCTGCTGCAGCTGAACTCATAACTGCCTCTCTTCCCAGGTGCTCAGTCCTAGGAAGATCAGCTTTATTTATAAGTTCCTGTCATGCTGCTGCCTTTTTTCATAGATGCCCTGCCCCACATGGAGTAGTCTAGTCACAGTCTGCCAGCAGAGGCATTGCTGAGCTGCTGCAGGCTCTGCCCAGCTGCTGTGTGCACTGCCTCAGTAGTGGCAGACTGCCTCGGTAGTGGGGGACACCCTTCCCCCCACTGAGCTGGACCATCCTGGGTCCAGCTGCGCTTGCTGTGAAACTCTCAATCCAGAGCATTTCAGATTGCTTGTTTTGTGGCGGTGGTATCCACTGAGCCAGATTGCCTGGCTCCCTGTCTCTGCCCCCTCCCTTTTAGTTGAATGGGTGGCTCTGTCTCCCAGGTGGTCCAAGGTCCAGTCAAAACAACCACCCAGACTTGTTTGAGTTTCTGTGTGCCGACCCGGCACCGGCTGAAACCGCTGTGCTGAAAACTCATGGCACTTTTCAGCCCAGGAATCTCCTGGTCTGTGGGCAGTGAAAACTTGTTTGGAAATGCAGTGAGCACTCACCCTCTGCACTGTTCTCACTGGGAACTGCACTCCGGAGCTGTTCCTATTCAGCCATCTTGGATCCTCCCACAACTCCAATATTCTTTATGATTAAAAAACACTCTCAACAAATTAGGTATAGAAGTAATGTACCTCAACACAATATAAAGATCATATATGGTCAGCCCACAGAACATCAAACTCAAGAGTGAAAAACTGAAAGCTTTTCCTCTAAAATAGGAATAAAACAAGGATACCCACTGATATGGTTTGGCTCTGTGCCCCTATCCAAAATTCATCTTGAATTGTACTCCCATAATTGCCACATGTTATGGGAAGGAGATGGGGGGAGACAATTTGAATCATGTGGGTGGTTTCTCCCATACTGTTCTTGGGGTAGTGAATAAGTCTCATGAAATCTGATGGTTTCATCAGGAGTTTTCGCTTTTGCATCTTCCTCATTTTTCTCTTGCCACTGCCATGTAACAAGTACCTTTTGCCTCCCTCCATGATTCTGAGGCCTCTTTAGCCATATGGAACTCTAAGTCCAATTGAACCTCTTTTTCTTCCCAGTCTCAAGTAGGCCTTTATCAGCAGCATGTAAATGAACTAATACACCTACTCTCACCAATTATTTTCAATACATAATAATAGAAGTCCTAGTCAGAATAACTAGGCAACAAAATGAAATCTAAGATATACGAATTGGAAGGAAAGAAGTAAAATTGTCTTTGTTTGCAGATAATATGATCTTATATATAGAAAACTCTAAAAACTACTTCAAGGAACTGTTAGAAGTAACAAATGAATTCAGCAAAATTGCAGAATACAAAATAAATATTTAAAAAATTAGTAGGGTTTCTAAACATTAACAAAAAACTATCCAAGAAAAAAATTTCTTTAAATAATCCCATTTATTATGTATCCAAAAGAATAAAATACTTAGAAAAGAATTTAACCAAGGAGGTAAAAAAAAAAATCTGTACACTAGGATTAAATGCAGTGTCTCATGCCTGTAATCCCATCACTTTGAGAGGTTGAGGTGAAAGGACTACTTGATCATTTAACGGCAGCCTCCTTTGCACCTTTCAAATAAAACTACTAAACTAAATAAAATATATTTAGAACTAGTCTTTGGCATATGTCAAGCATGTTTTGATAATCCGTGGCTCCTGCCCCACAGTTTTTTCCACAAGGAACCCTTACACAATGGTATCTGAAATGCCTACATTAATCCAGAAAGAAGATCCAGAAAGAAGAAATATATCAGACATTTAATTATCAGCTATCACCACCTCATATTTGATCAATTCTCATCACTGACCCCAACATCCCTCTGCAGACTGCATGACCAAACACATTTTTAAGACAGAGAAGCAAAGTCCACAGAATGGGGAATACTGAAGATCTGAGAAGGCACTGTCCTAATTTGTGGGGCTTTGATGAATATGTTAGAAGTTTCTCTACAATTTAAACAGAAGATAGGGGATGTGACAGCAGAAAGGAGACTACTAAGCATGATGTGTTTGATTCTACTAAATGGGACAGTGGTTAAAGTTAGAGTTTAATTTACAAGTCTTGTATTGATATAAAACATTCCAACTAACACAATGTGGTGTCTGGTTTTCTGTTCCTGTGGTAGTTTACTGAAAATGATAGTTTCCAGCTTCATCCATGTCCCTGCAAAGGACATGAACTTATCTTTTTTATGGTTGCGTAGTATTCCATGGTGTATATGTGCCACCATGGTGTATAAGCTGGGCATTTTCTTTATCCAGTCTATCACTGATGGGCATTTGGGTTAGTTTCAAGTCTTTGCTATTGTGAATACTGCTGCAATAAACGTACCTGTGCATGTGTCTTTATATTAGAATGATTTCTAATCCTTTGGGTATATACCCAGTAATGGGATTGCTGGGTCAAATCGTACTTCTGGTTCTAGATCCTTGAGGAATCGCCACACTGTGTTTCACAATGGTTGAACTAATTTACACTCCCACCAACAGTGTAAAAGTATTCCTATTTCTTTACATCCTCTCCAGCATCTGCTGTTTCCTGACTTTTTAATGATTACCATTCTAACTGGCATGAGATGGTATCTCATTGTGGTTTTGATTTGCATTTCTCTTAATGACCAGTGATGATGAGCTTTTTTTCATACATTCGTTGACTGCATAAATGTCTTCTTTTGAATGTGCAATCAAACTTGTGGATCTTTTCCAACTTCCTGGTTAAAAAAAAGTGACATGTCCTTATAATTTTTGTGGGTGCTCTTTATATATTAATGTACCTTTTATCTGTATCATTTTGCAAATAAGCATATAAATATTTGTCAAAATAAAGTCCTAGAAATTAAATTATTGTGTCAAATAATATGTGCATTTGTAATTTTAATACATATTTCAAAAATTTCCTTTATACCGGGTTGTACCAAATCACATTCCCTATGGCAAGTATCATTGGAATATACTCAGGAAGAATGTGCAATCAAACTTGTGGATCTTTTCCAACTTCCTGGTTAAAAAAAAGTGACATGTCCTTATAATTTTTGTGGGTGCTCTTTATATATTAATGTACCTTTTATCTGTAACAATAATTGCAGATGTTTTTCTAACTTTATTTATCCCTGGATTTATATCAAATTATTTTTTATGTAGATTTTTAAAAATAGTTGAATTTATCAATGTTTTCTTTTACAGCTTTAGGAATTTTTGTCACAGTTAGAGAGGTCATATAACTTGAGATGATTTAAAAATCTCATTAAAAATAAGAAGACTAAAGTTTTCCTGATTCTATTATTCCCATTTAAATTTTTAAACTCGTTTTAGACTCATTTTTAATTTCTCCTGCTATAAGGTAAAAAGTAAGGCTCCAACTTTTTTTTCAGGTGACTACTTGGTTAATCCAACACTATTAATAATTTATCTTATTTTCCCACTCCACCTCCACTGATGTTAGATGTCGCTTTTACCATACACTAAATTCTTGTATGTATTTGAATCCATTTCTATGCTATCTATTTTCACATTGATTTTTCTGACTCTTCATGTGCCAGTACCATACTGTTTTAATTATTGTAACCTTATATTAAATTCTAACATCTTGTAGGTGAGTGCCCCTCATTACTCTTCTTTTCCAGAGTTTTTCTTGGAATCCTTGCCTGGTTTCTTAACATGAAATTTTAGAACCATCTTGCTTAGGTAACAAAAAAAATCTTGTTGGTATTTTTACTGAGATAATATTAATTTATAGATGAATTTAAGAAATAAATAATTTTCAACCTTCCTTCTAAGGTTGTGATTTAACTGTCCACTTGTTCAGCCCTTTTTATGTTTATTGGGTTTTTTTATGTTTATATTATACAGTTCTTATGCATTTCTTGTTAAGTTTACAAGAAGTTTATTCTTTTTTTTTTTTTTTTTTTTTTTTTAAGACAGACTCTCACTCTGTTGACCAGGCTGGAGTGCAATAGTGGGATCTCAGCTCACTGTTAACTCCACCTCCAGGGTTCAAGTTATTCATGTACCTCAGCCTCCCGAGTAGCTGGGATTACAGGCATGTGCCACCACACCTGCCTAATTTTTGTATTTTTAGTAGAGATGGGGTTTTACCATGTTGGACAGGCTGGTCTCAAACTCCTGACCTCAAGTGATCTGCCTGACTTGGCCCTCACAAAGTGCTGGGATTACAGGCATGAGCCACCACACCCAGCCAAGTTTATTCTTAATTATCTTTCCTTTTGTAAATGGAGTATTTTCTTCTATTATATAGATAGGATTTTGCTATGTACCCCAGGCTGGAGAGCAGTGGCTATTCGCAGGTGCAATCACAACACATTACACTCCCAAACTCCTGGGCTCAAGCTATCCTCCCATCTTAGCCTCCTGAATAGCTGCAATAACAGACACCTGCCACCATGCCCAGCTTATCTGCTCACATATTGAGAGGGTTTGAAGTATTTTCCACCAACACTAAGTGGAGGTTGAAGGAGATAACAATGGGAAATTGTTCTAAATAACATAAAGGCAAGGATTAAAGAAAACACCAACTAAACTGTGTTGCTACTCAGCAGATTCTGTTATACAGAATGGGAAGAGAAAGCCACAGAGTGATTTGCCTACACATTCATCTCCCTGGTACAAGTGGGTATTGTTCTGTACCCTGTGGTAGGATTATAAATATTGCCAGGGAACAAGTACACAAAGTTGTTATAGAAACCAGAATGTTTTAGCCCAGAGTTATTTACAGAGAACTTTCAGGATTATCATATTCAATAAAATCAGCTCTTGTTTTGCTTCATCCTATGCTAGTGCATCCCAATCAAATATCTATTTTTAAGAGTTCCTCAATCAGCTGTACTTCTTTACATAAGAATTCAGGAGTCAGTGGATGGAGACTACATCACAAAAGTATAATTTATGAGTAGCATTTTTGTATCACATGTTTGAAGCTTGTTCATACTTGCCTCAACCATTGTCCAGTTTGCTGGTTTCCATAATATAGGAACAAGGTGGCTATTGACTACTGCATTCAGCAGATAAATATTTCCTTCAATGTAGCTGGTGTCTGTGTTGCCTGATACTGTGATACTGTGGGACTAGGCTCTTCACATTCTTTCAACTTACCTTTAAGGCTAGACAGTGGCAGCTGCCTGTGACTATCGTTTTTGTCCTTAATTGTGAACTGTATTTTTCCAGCCATCCAGGAGGATCTTTGAAAAAGTTGGGTGTTTTGTCTGAAAAGATAATTGCACAATGAGGATTTTCATCGCCTTTGAAGGATCTGTTGAGCCGTTTGATGTTTCAGCAGATGAAACTGTGGAGGCTGTCAAGCTGATGATAAAGGTATGTACTTTGTTCCTGAGCCACCAAAATGTATATTAATTTTAACTATGCATGCATTTTAAAATGTACAAAAGGTAGAGATGCTATTGGGCACATTTCCAGCAAAGAGGGAAAGAAAACTATTTGATACTATTATTTGCTTACACAATAGATTTATAGGAAGATGGTAACTCTGGTGGTGTTAGACAAGAAAGCAAATGGAGCTAGTCAATTCTCAAGAAAAAAAAGTCTGACTTCTTTTTAGGGAATGTGTGGGTTGTGCATAGGCTAGACAATATTATTGCAATTCTTCATAAAAGGACAAAAGCAAGACACTAACTTCAGGCTATATAAGTGGGACATGCCAGTCATCAGATAAATGTCTTAGTTGGTGAGCAAAAAACTGTAAAGAATCAAAGGATTTTGGAAGCAAAGAGGACTTTAGAGAACTTGTGGGCAATGGCTTCATTTTGTATTCAGGGAAAACTGAAGCTCAGAGAGGCTGACTATCTTACCTAGGATCACAGAGCCAGAATAAGAAATAACTTGGGTACAGTATGTTCCTTATAAATTTCATATAAATGTTCACTCTAAAATAAAAAATTAAGCAAAATATTTAGTTTCTGATCATCAAATATTTAACTTGGAGATGGTCATTCCTATTTGCTAAGAAGCATTAACTGAACCATAGTTACATGACATTCAGTTGATTATTATGATGACTGAAATCTAGATCTTGTAACACAAGGAATCTTAATGTCTTATGAATCCCTTTGGAAGTCTGGTGAAGTCTATAGACTGCATCTTAAAATGTCTTTAAAGGCAAAAAATAAACATGATAAAAATGAAACTTGTTATATTGAAATACATTTTCAAATACTAAAATGCAAATGTGATATAGTGACATGTGGACTTATTTATTAACACATTAACAAGTTCTAGCAGCTCATCTAATAACTATTGTATTTTCAAAATATGGATCAGTATAAATATTTTGAAATATTTGCAACAACTATGACGTGCTGTGAAAACATCTGTGACATCTATTGGTGTCAGTCACAGGTACAGCGACTACTGTTACTTTAATTTGCTTCTTACATGAGTAATTGAAACAAAATTTCAACTTCATTTAGAGTTAATAAAATAAAGATGTAGTTTTTTCCCATCTAAATTATATCCATAAACTTTTCAGTTTTCTAAGTTAAGAACCCCTGTTTAATACTTCTTCCCTTTGTCCCAAACAATTATAGTGCTCACAGGAAAAAATGAAAAGGAAAAGAGTACATTTCTGGTCTAGTTATGTAGAGATGTACTGTTTTCATAATATGCTATTGATTTTTAAGGATTATTTCCACATTCCTCTCTCTGAAGACAAACAAGGCAGGCGGTATCTGGAGTTGATGTATGCTGGAGCCGCTCTAAAGGACAGTTGGAGTCTTGCTGATGTTGGAATATCTTTCTGTTCAACTCTCAAATGCTTTGTTAAGGTATGATGGTCAGGATAACATTTGTCTAAGATATCTATCTCATTTTGAATAAAGTTGGGGTAAGTCAACCAAAGTAATTCCATAACTTAGAAAGAGGTTGTCTCTTTTTGCCTTCTCACTTCCGTTTGTATAACTGGTCTTATGCAAGCTTTGTGCTCTAAGGGGAAGTAAGACATGGAGAAGGGAAACAGTTGCCCCCTGTTTACTCTTCTTCCTCTTGTCTCCCCACGCCCTTTATTGCCTGTCCCATTCTGTCATCATAGAGCTCACCACAAACCAATATAAAAACAAAGCCAAGGGGCAGATCTGGAATTTTGATGTGGGAAGAAGAGCATTAGGTCACTTCAGTGGAACCACAGTGATTACTGGCAGTGGAATGAGGAAGGAGAAGAAATTCTAAGTAACAATAAGAATAAAGGAGAATTTTCTGCATCCAAATTCAGCCAAAGTAGCAATTCCAATTAGGTGTACATGCAATGAAGATAGCTTTTTTTCATTTACAGAGGGTCCTTAATCAATGGTGCTTAACTTAAGATGCACGGTTGGGCTTCAAGAACCTTAAAAAATCCCTAAAGTTGTAATATATACAAAATTATGTGCCTGGAGATTTTCTGAGTCTAAGATCCGTATGTTCAACAATTTTTTAAAGGAATGGGTGGTCCAAAGAATTTAAATGCTGCTGCCCTAGGGTAGAAGTATTATCCTGTATTAGTGCTTTACCATATATAAAAATATGAACCTTAAGAAACTTAGCAAAGCATACATTCTCCACTAAATGTGGCACCAAGTTTCTTATATTTAACATTTAAAAGATTATGATAATTAAAGTTAACTCTTTCTTTTAACATGTGTTAGTAATTGACTAAATGGATGTTTAAAAAAATATATTCTGGCTGGCCACGGTGCCTGTAATCCAAACACTTTGGGACCCTGATCACTTGAGACCAGAAGTTCGAGACCAGCCTGGCCAACATGGTGAAACCCCGTCTCTACTCAAAAAACAAAAATTAGCTGGGTGTGGGTGGCACACATCTGTAATCCCAGCTGAGGCATGAGAATCGCTTGAACTTGGGAAGCAGAGATTGCAGTGAGCTGAGATTGCACCACTACACTTCAGCCTGGGCAACAGGGTGAGACCCTGTCTCAAAAAGAAAAGAAAAGAAAAGAAAAGAAAAGAAAAGAAAAGAAAAGAAAAGGAATACTCTTCAATATTTATTATTTAATAGGAAAGACAATCACAGAATAATGAACATTGAATCATCCCACTTACATAAACAAAAGACCATATTTACATGTGTTTAAATGTTTTATTTTCTCCCTCTTTCACTCAGAACATAGAAGTATAATATTACATTTCAAAGCAGACCAAATTCCAGCCATTTTTAAATGTCTTCTCTTTATATCTTTAAATCTATTTCCATACTATGTTTTTGGTACCAGATAGGATCAACTCTCTAAAATTTCCCAGAATTCTGTAATGCCAATCATAAGGTTCAAGACTTTTTATTGTTTGCTTGCTTAGAGATAGTGGTGTAAGTTCAATACTACATTTGAGCTGACTGGAAGAATCTGATGGCTCTTCAGGGATGTAAGTTTGTTAAGGGTATGAACGGGATACTTTTATTTAACTAAGGACTGATTTCATTTTTATTATTTAACATTTAAAAATTGTATTTATTTTTGTCTAGGTAGCATGTTCACATAGTTCTCAACTCAAAAGGTATAAAAAGATACACAGCAAAAAGTCTACTGGCCAGGTGTGGTGGCTCACACCTGTAATCCCAGCACTTTAGGAGGCTGAAGTGGGTGGATTGCCTGAGATGGGGAGTTCGAGGCCACTCATGGTGAAACCCTGTCTCTAATAAAAATACAAAAATTATCTGGGTGTGGTGGGCATGGCTGTAATCCCAACTACTCAGGAGGCTGAGGCAGGGGAATAGTTTGAACCCAGGAGGCGGAGATTTCAGTGAGCCAAGATTGCACCACTGCACTCCAGCCTGGGTGACAGAGTGAGACTCCATTTCAAAAAAAAGAAAGAAAGGAAGAAAAGAAGAAAGAAAGAAAGAAAGAAAGAAAGAAAGAAAGAAAGAAAGAAAGAAAGAAAGAAAGAAAGAAAGAAAGAAGAAAGAGAGAAAGAGAAAGAGAAAAAAGAAAGAAAGAAAGAAGAAAGAAAGAGAAAGAAAGAAAAAGAAAGAAAGAAAGAAGAGAAAGAAAGAAAGAAAGAAGGAAAGAAAGAAAAAGAAAAAGAAAATAAAAGTCTCCCTCCTCTGGCCCCCAGTTTCCCTCCCCAGATGCAACCTATATTCACAGTTCTACTTACAAAAACATTTCCTAAATTCTGCTAATAAAGCATCATATATTACAGTGACACAGGCTTCACACTGAACTCTTTTACCTAAAGTTTTAAACTGCTAATTCTATAAATAGAAAGTAGGGGTAAAATAGGTTATTCAATGAAACCAACCTGAGCAATGTGGCAAGACCCCACCTCTGCAAAAATATTTCAAAAATTATTCTGGTGTGGTAGTGCGCACTTGTAATCCCAGCTACTTGCAAGGCTGAGGTGGGAGGATTGTTTGAACCCAGCCTGTGCAAGAGAGTGAGACCCTGCCTTAAAAAAAGAGAAGTTTATTCAAGAGAGATAGGGCAGCAGTCACAAGACTGGTCAACACACAGAGTTTAATTAAAAACTCTCAAGTTCCATAAAATTTTACTAATTGTGCTCTTCATTCCTCATTCTTTGAGGCCTGGGACATTTGGAGAATATCCCAGGCCTCAAAGAATGATACCAGCTCTATCATGCCTGCCCATCTCAGGTTACCAAAGGCTGCTTTCCTTTGTAGCATAACTTTAATACAAACCTTTGAGCTGACTGAAAGTGGTGTAAGTTCAGTACTAACATTTGAGCTGACCGGAAGAATCTGATGGCTTTGCAGAGATGTAAGTTTGTTAAGGGTGGAATAAAGTCATGTTACTGCCTCACTGAATAATTAGATATATACACATTTAAATAGTACCTTTCCTACTTAACTATGTTTAACCATGTTACTTTGTGAAAGTTAGTTTGCCTCGAGAGAGATGGAAGATGCCACAGTAAGGGAGGGAATGAATCCATGAAATGCATCTCTTTAGCATCTCTAAATTTTGGTAAAACTTAGAAATATCATAATGTGAACCTAAAACTTTTGTAAGGTTCAAAAAACTTGGCAAGTAAGCGGTTTTTCTTTCTAAAAAGGTACAAGTACATATTATGTCTCACGAAATAAATCCAAAATATTTGGCTTACTTATTGTGTTCATATTTTTGTGTACTTACAAGGTTTTACTTGTGTGAAAAAGAGGGAGAGACACTGGATAAATACAAAGATTATCTACTGTTAAGTATATTCTTTAAATAGTCAATACTTTTTCCAGCTTCTCTGTATATTATACTTTTCTTTTAATGGTAGTACAGACACATTTGGAAAAGAAATGGGAATAGGGGTGATATACAAATAGTGGGAAAAGAACATTGTATTAACTTTTCCTTCTTTGGAAAAGAACTCTTATAGAAGCCATAATCAATATTTCCTATGGCATATAGTTCCAATTTCTATTAATACAGGAGTCAGTCCTGACCATTCATTGCTGATGCTGTTGCAATTCACTGTGTTCCTATAAACCATGGCATGAGGCACTGCAAAAGCATATGTTTTTGTACAACAGGCAGAGGTGCTATCACTTTTGCCTCTTTCATTTTAACCTGTGTTATCGTGGAAATGATTGCTTAAGTTTTGTCCACGTTTTCACCCAGTGCTTAGAATAGTATCTGATATAATGTATAGTAGGCTGTACATAAATAGGTGTTAAATAAATGAATTGATAAAGGTTTGAGAGGTAAAGTATGGAAATTAACAAGACGATATATGATTGTCTACAATTCATAGCAAGGTATGCATTTCAGGGATCTATTCCCTCCCTTACTGTGGCATTTCAGGGATCTATTCCCTCCCTTACTGTGGCATTTCCCATTTTTCTCTACTTTCAAGGCAAAGCACTCACCAGTATTCTAAGCCTTTCCCCTGACCAACATCAAGGTTTTCAGTTGCAAGCAGCAGAAACAAAGCCTAGATAATTTAAGGAGAAAATAAATATTGAGAAGCTATTGAGTAATTTTCAGGAGATTGGAGAATCAATCTTAGAGATTATGCAGCCAGAAACAACATTCAAAGCATGCCCCAGAACTAATCTGGGAAGGCCACCTCTGCAGGCAACACTGATCCCTCAAAGCAGGTATTGGACATGCTGCCTGCCCTGTTGCCAGGCCAGCAATGCTTCAGAAATGCCATTGCCCAAAGACTTTGCTGTGCTTCTTTGCCTTATTGGCTTTTAATTCAAAGTGGGAGTAGATAGGTAAGTCTGATTGGGAGCACCTTATCACAAGTCCATTCTCTACTGCAAAAGGGCAACTATCCAGCCGGTTGTGCTTTCCACAGCATGAAGTGGGCCCAGCCGACCCAGGACTCCTTCTGGTTTCCCTACCTCCTTCTATAACCAGACTTGTGCCAACCAAGTGCTGGGGTCAAAACGTAGTTTATCCCCCTGACATCCCTGGAATGTTGTGAAAAGCTGGTTGTTGTTTTTCTTCTTCTTCTTCTTTTGAGACACAGTGTCACTCTGCTGCCCAGGCTGGAGTGCAGTGGCACGATCTCAGCTCACTGCAACCTCTGCCTCCCCGGTTCAAGCGATTCTCCTGCCTCAGCCTCCCAAGTAGCTGAGATTACAGGTGTGTACCACCATGCCTGGCTAATTTTTGTCTTTTTAGTAGAGACAGAGTTTCATTGTGCTAGCCAGAATGGTCTTGATCTCCTGATCTCGTGATCCACCCACCTCCATCTCCCAAAATGCTGAGATTATAGGCATGACCCACCGCACCCGGCTGATAAAGAGCTGTTTTATGCTGAGAGACTGAGTTAACTGTAGTACCATTGAGTAGATGTCTATTAGATAAGTTAGAGAAGTTTGTACTATCTTGACAAGTCTAAAATTGATTCAAAATGATATACATTTTAGCTTTCAAAAGATACTGTTAACATAAAAACGCCAAAATCCAGGAAATATATATGTGGTTTTACATTTAACGATTTTTATACACAAAAGCATGTATAAACATGTTTCTTTAAAATTTACACATGAAAGCATGTTTCTTAAAAATGGCTCTCTTTTTTAAGATAAGTCATAATAAACGGTATGAAAAGAATCTGGTGAAGAAAGGTATTCCAATTCAGTGTCCAAGACTCCAGGGATAATCTCTCCAGGAAGACTACCACCCAAGAGAAGTTTATGAAGACATCTCACTGGAATTCATTCAGTTCAACAAAAACAAATATTATTTCCCCTTTTAGTTCACTCTGAAATAGTTGGGGCAAGCTTTTG